CTCTTACAGGTTGGCCTGCTAGATCACACTGGGTTAGTCCTATGGCGAACCCTCAAGACTAACTACTGTTAAGTCGAGTCCCTCTAGTTACGAGCTCATGCTACACCGAGCTATTAATGCTCCTAACTAGGCCGAGCTACTAATAATCGAGCCAAGCTAGTAACACTTTTAATAGGCCGAGCTAGTAGTACTCTTAGTGGGCCGAGCTACTAGTGCTTTGCTGAGCCGAACTACTAATACTTTAATGGGCCGAGCTAGTCACCACCAGTTTACTGAGCTAATTGTATGTGTTATGTCACCATGAGTTGGAGCTTTGTTGGTTTACACCCCTAATTCCTTCCTAAAAAGGCCAAGGGTCACATTCCTCCAATTGTATGCGTGGATAGACTTTAATCGCATTGCTATAGTCGTGTTCAGCACTAAAGTCGCTGCTTTAGAAGTCAAGTCTCTCCTCCGCACGCACTGGATAAGATTGGATCGTATGTCACAGCAGAGGCGCAGATCCTCTCTCTTGCTCGCTGTGTTCACCTCCGATCGGGAATTCAGATCCGACGTCGTTTCGTTTTGCACCTTTCATTTTGGTTTCGCCTCTTAGTTTCATCAGGTACCCACCTCTGTGCATATTGGAATGATTTTTCAAACTAGTAATGGAGTTTAATTGGGTTTGATTTCTGGCTTTGAGATTGAGAGACAGTAAATGAGAGCTTGAGGGTCATTAATCATCATTTCATGAAGAATTAGATAAAGACTGAATTTTTCTATCATAGAATCGTTATTTTTTCCTCAAAGCATTTAATTTTCGTCTACATTCTCCTTCCCTTGTTCTGTCCATTTTTCTTTTCCATTTTCCATATATGCATATCCATTATGATATTGCTAGCAATTTAACGTGTTGTTTGTGTATTCATCCATCATGGAGCTTTCAGCTTTGCATACTTGGAACTTGATGACATTTAATTCTTTGTTGTGAAAACTATTAGTAATTTGATATCTCGTTCACTGGAGTTGTGCAAATTTGGTCGGTGCATGCTCTACTTTTTTATGTTTAAGATTGCACAAACAAGTTATTTGATGATAAATATCCAATTGTTTCCAGAGTAAGCATGTCGGTATTCCCGGTTTTTGTTAGTAGCTTTTAAAGTTTTAATATCTTGCATGATTTCTACTCTCTCCCTTTGGATGAATGTGCTTGCAACTCTATCAGATTCCTTGCTTCTTAATGAAGGTGCATGGACATTGACTCGATTGCTGGCTTGAGGAATAATTCTCAAAGTGACATTAAAGAAAAATCTGATCCCACATCACTAGTGGATGCTGATATAAATTATATTGGAGAGGCATCAAACTTCCCCAATGATGCTGAGGTGACGGTTGTCCATGAAAATGGATCACTGGATCAAGAAGCCAATGAAGATGGTATGGATGTAGACAGCGAGAGCACATATAGCTGTCTTAATTCTTCATCTGAAGAAAAAAGTATTGGCAGTGATGCTGAGCATGAGTTCACTAGCCATTACGGTTCGTCCATTGAACATAATGGGTTAACCAATGACTCTGGACATGAGAATCTGAGTTCAAGCACGTGCAATGGTGAAAATAACGGTTTGGACGTGGAGGTTAACCAGCGAGAAACTGATGCTCATGCGTCTACCTCAGGAGAGCCTTCTAATGCCTCACCTGAATCTGTTCGGGTTATAGCAGAGGAAGATGGTGAGTACATAGTCCCAAAGCTCGGTGTGGAATTTGAGTCAGAGGCCCACGCGTACAAGTGTTACAACAAGTATGCTCTCATGGAAGGTTTCAGCATCCGGAAAGATTTCATGAACCGAAGTAAAGTTACGGGCTTTGTGGTCTCGAGGAGGTACACCTGTCACAGGCAAGGCCACGGATCTATAAAACGGGAAGCAACTGTGAGTAGAGCCCGGAAAGAAACGAGAACCGGGTGCATGGCTCATATGACCATCACACGCCAGTCAAATGGCAAATACCGTGTGATCCATTTAGAGACAAGGCACAATCATGAGTTTGTGACGGCACTGACCGCTCATTTGCTGCCTTCACAGAAGAGAATATCCTTTGTTCAGGCTGTTGAGGCCAATTCAGGTTCTTCTAATCCAGTGCCCGATGGTGTGCCGAAGCTTGGCATGGGGTTTGAATCGGAAGATCTTGCCTATGAGTTTTATAATGCTTATGCCGGGCGGTTGGGTTTCAGTGTTCGGAAGGATTATGTGAACAGGAGCAAAAGAGATGGAGCTGTGGCTTCCAGGAGGTACACGTGTTTCAGGGAAGGTTTTAGGCAGAATGACAAGCGAGGTTCAAAAGTAAAGAGACCTCGAAAGGAGACTAGAGTCGGGTGCATGGCACAGCTGGTAATTTCTCGTCAAGTGGATGGTAAGTACCGTGTGACCCACTTTGAAGAAAGCCATAATCACGTGCTCGTACCTCTGTGTAAAGTTCGAATGTTGCGGTCACAGAAGAGGTCCGTGGGAAATAATCAGCTTCCGGAGTTGCACCCAAAATCACTTAATGAGCTGTTGTTAAGGGGAGTTCGAGATGATTTTATTTGTGATTCAGTTGATCGTGAGATGAATCTCATGTATAGGTGTGACTGGAACATGAAGCAGGAGGAAGCAGAAAACTTGCACCATTATTTTCAGAGCAAGAAATTGAAGGATCCATCGTTCGTTTATGCCATACAGCTTGACGTGGAAGAGGAAATGACTAATTTCTTCTGGGCTGATGAGAAAATGATGGCTGACTATGCTGATTTTGGTGATGTCGTTTGTTTGGATACAGCTTGTCTTCAGGACGAACTTTTCCGGCCTTTAGTGCTGTTCTTGGGAATAAATAATCATAAGCAGATTCTGGTGTTTGGTGCTGCATTTTTATACGATAACACCGCCCAATCTTTTAAGTGGCTGTTGAGAACTTTCCTGAAAGGTACGTCTGGAAAAATACCAAAGACTATACTCTCTGGTAAAGAAGCAGTGATATCCGAAGCAATCAACTCTGAGTTGCCCCAAGCTCAGCACAGATTATGCACCTGCCAGACTTACCATAATGCCCTTAAGCATCTTGATGAAGTAGCTTCCAGTTCAGATTCTTTCTCGAGTGATTTGAGGGGTTGTTTTCTTAATCCAGATGAAGAAGGTTTTTTGAATTCTTGGAAAGTCATGCTCGATACCTATGGTCTGTGGGAAAGTGAATGGCTACTTGGTGTATTTGAAGAGCGAGAGAGATGGGCTTTAGCGTTCAGCAAGCATATATTCTCGGCTGACTTAGAAACTGCATTACTCTCTGAGGGTTCTATTACCAGCTTGAAAAAATACCTCAAACCCCAGTCACATGTTCTTCAATTTGTCAAACACTTTGGGAGGGTGGTGACCGACTGGCGTTACAAAGAATTGGAAGCCAATTATGACATGGGCCAGCAAACACCGAGATTAATGGGGGATGTGATAATGCTGAAGCAGGTAAGGGAAGTATACACGCCAGTAATTTTTTATGAGTTTCACCAAGAATATGAAAACTGCCTAAATATCGTGATAAACGACTGCAATGAAAACACGTCCTCGGTTGAGTATAAAGTCAGCACATATGGTCAAGTTCGTCAGTACACGGTTTTATGCAGCTTGGAGGATGATTCGGTTGCCTGCAGCTGTATGAAGTTCGAGTCTGTTGGGATTTTGTGTAGCCATGCGCTGAAAGTGCTAGATTATAAAAATATAAAGATAGTACCAAGCCGATATATCTTGAAAAGATGGACCAGAGATGCACAGACTTGACGGGATATCTCGATTCTGCCCTTTGGATTATACCGTCTAAGTTGGTCAATGGCCTGCAACCTTCGATTGTACATTTTGTGTTAGTCGGATTGAAATTTTGTAGTGGTCAATTGAGGTTTCTTTTGCTTCATTTTAGTTTGTATCTGCTGTGCTTACTGTAGATTAGAAGTGGAAATATGTGAAAGTTTTGCTTTGAATGTGAACATTATTGTTTTGATAATTTTTTTAAAGCACATATCTTTGTTGAGCATGTTGGAGGTGGAGGTGGAGGCGGCGTTGCGATGGTACCTTTGTATCTTTTTTGAGTTGCTTCTTTCTAAATCGAAAACCAAATGACCAAACACAATAAACATCAACGAGGATATTCCGAATCATTTGCCTTAATATAACATTTTGAGGCTTTACACGTGTTTTCGATTCGTTTAGGACGCAAAAACAAATTGGCTACTCAGTTGAATTTTTCGATATCTGCTAAGAGCAGCACTTGAGGGTATACTTTATGTACCTTTTCAACTTGATTTCTCGTGTTTCCTCTGTTCTCGTAAGAGTCGGGCAAAAGGTTGAGCTTTGAAAGAAAAGCTACAGCTTTAAACTTATTTTCTTGCTTTGTCCTGTAATGCAATTGGTCTGGTTGTGAGATTGACTTCAATTGTCGGATCAGTTTTCCTTGGACTCTTCCAATAAAAGCCATTTTCCATGCTGATTGTGAAACATGGGACCTCGGTAGATGATATATTTGCTTGTAATAAAGAGTATGTATTGTGGTTGAAGTTGAAGAGGTTGCTGATGTATATGAACTCAACTACTGCTCAGTAGTATGTATTGTGGTTGAAGTTGAAGAGGTTGCTGATGTATATGAACTCAACTACTGCTCAGTTTGGTGATGCATTATTCTTTGCATAGTTATAGCTTCAAAGATTTTTCACTCAAATTCTTGAAAGAAAAGAAAAGTGGGTCGCTCTCCAGGCGTTCTGTTTTCTCAATGTATCGGTTACACTTAATTATCTGAGACAATTTTCATTTCATGGTTCAATTAAAGAAACTTATCTTGTTTTCCATGATTGACACATTAATCTTGTTTCAGTCCTAGGTGGTTGATTGTTTACTAAATGACTAACATTAGCATAAATTCAAATAAAACATACGCTTTGACGCAAAATTTATCACATTGCTGTAAACAAAAAACAGGTTCAAGCTACTAAATCAGTTCCAGCATGAAAAAAGAATAGAGATCAATGGGAATGGTAAAGAAGCATATAAAACTAAAAACTTCAGGATTCATGTTCAAGTACATACAATTAGAAAGAACATGCTGTCCGAGCTTTTTTTAACATTGAAAACATATATTTAGGA